GTCTCTAATTAGCAAATAACTAATACGTGTTCAGAATAAGTATACTTACCATATAATATTTTGATTTTCTTGATTTTCGGAAATATCTTTTTCCAAACAAATAGTAATTAGCATTTTGTTTCAATATTTTTTTTTTATAAATTCTTTTCTTACCATCTTGTATCATTTCTGTTTCATTAGCCAAGCCAAGTTCTAATTCCTTAACCAACCCGTCTCTTTTAGCGGTGTTGATAACATTGATATTTCATTTTTCAATTCAAATAATAATCGTTCTCTTGTCAATCTTTTAGGATCAATACCTAAATCGGAGACAAAATGTGGGATAGATAATATTCACAAAAGCTGAAGAGGTAACGCACCTGAAATATTTGGCATAGCAATCACCCATTCATTTTTGGGAGTCGTATGAGTTGATGACATAGGTTCTGGAATTTCAATTTTTTTTTTCTGCAAATTAGATATCTATGCCGGTGAAAATTTTGTCCATTCTCTAATATTAGGAATCTCTCGACTAAGAATATAACCCACCATTGATCCTTCTCCTGGCCAAGTCCATTTAAATAAATTAGAATTACCAGGAAGAGTATTCTTGGCTCTCTTATTTTGGTCTAAAGTAAGTCAGAAAGAGAAAATATTCTTTGACTATTTTGTTTGATTTAATCTCACCTTTTGTTCGATTTGGTTTTAAATGTGTAACAAATGTTCCGTAAATATCTCTAATTGCTGTTTCAATATTAGCACCTTCCATTATATCTAATCTAAGACGTACTTGACGTTTGATTGCATGGGTAATCTAAAATGTTAACACTTATTATATAGGTAAATGATAGATCACTTATTTTATTTTATTTTATTAGTATCTATGCATGATGACTGTCAATGGTCGTTTTTGCTTCACCTGCCTCTAAGAATATCCATTTCTTTACATTTATTTGATACCATTCTAACCAATTTTCCAAAATTATCATTAGGTCAGCATTATGATAATGAGGACCATTATCTGAAATAATTGTGATCCACTTTGGCTTATTTTCCAGTAATTCAATAACAGCATGGAGGGATGAAGCTGTAAACCAAGAGTCCTGACGCATATCCATTGACCAATAATCATAAGCATGAACATCAAGTTCTTGATGTCTAGACTTTTTTGTATACATAAGAATTGTATGTAAAGTCCAACCTTTCTTTCCAAAAAATTTTGCTTTTGTTTCTCTGACACTTTTTGGAAGTATTTTCATTTTATAATCAACTACTAATACAGCGCTATTCTCATCCAAATCCAGTAGATTAGCGTTAAATTAGGCATTCAAATAAACTTTACAGACTTAATGTGCAAGATAAAATAACAAATGGTTTTGATATTCATCAAGATCTTTGTGTAAATCTGTTGATAGCTGATTTTTAAGACAATTAAAGAAGGTAAATAATTTGGCACATTCTTGAGATGCATGTGTATGTTGTTCTGTACAAACTCCAAATGCTCATAGTAAACAATAACTAATACAAGGATTATGCTCTATTATTCCTTTATTATTAACAATCAGATTTTTTTCATAATCTCGCTTCAAAAATCGTTGTAACTGTTCCAATTCATCA